AGTCTCGCGGAAGCGGGGGGCGGAGCGGGACAAGGGACGGCAGCAGCGGGGACGCGGCAGACCAGGACGGCGGAGGGAGAGGTGCTGATGATGCGGACGGCCGATCGCGGGTCCCGCTCCAGCCAGATGAAGGGATGCCTAGGCACCCCTATATAGCAATTCCCGAATGGGGAAAAACGAACGAAGGCGGAAAACAAGACAGAGACGGATCGGCCACATGACAAGCCAGAAACTAAGCACGAACACCAAACGACGGACGAACGGCTGCGGATCGAGGACTGGACGGGGGCCCAGCGAGCAAGCTGGGAGAGGGGGAGCGGAGCGGCAGCCGGTAGCAGCGGAGGCTGGGCTTCCCATACACGTGGCGAAGTGGAACCATTGCCGCGAACACTTGCATAGGCCAGATGCAAAAGAGGCAGCACAGCTCGCCAAGAGTGTCCACACACGTACACGGATAGCGTCGAGGACCCCCAGCTCCATGCGTACTGAACAAATCAGGGCGAGGGAGGTATGGGACGGCCAGTGGTGTGTCAAAGAGTGTGGTCAACTGGTCGGTCGCCTCTGCCGAGAGATCTGCAGCCCGAGGCCTTGAAGGGGTGACAAGTGCCAAGGCTTTCCCGAGACATCCTTGTCAAAAGGAAGTAGGGGCCGGGGTAAGCATGAGGATGCACGCTGAAACGGACTCCAGCGGAGAAGGCGGGCGCGGAGAGACGGAGGGCCCAGGGCGGGGGTGCGACGGAGGCGCGGCGCCAAGCAATGAAAGTACAGCCCATACTTACCAGGATGACCAGAAGAAAAGGCCCCACGGTAAAACTAGAGGGCGCATCTTCAAGCCTACAGAGATGGCAGGCAGGGTGGCGGAGGATGCAGGAGGCGCACGGCAGCTCTGAATCTCTCCGGTCATCTGAGGCCGCGATTCGAGCCGCGCGAAGCGCGAAACGAAGATACCTTCGCGCCCTCGCGCCGCCACCCTGGCTCGGCCCAGACCGCGTTTCGCGCTGGTCTTCGCGCCCGTGCGGGTGACCCAAGATCCCCTGCCCGCGTCAAGTCCGATCCTTCCGTGTAGACGTGCTGCCATGCCCGAACACATGTTCATTCCCTCTTCGTGTGGCCTCCAGCAGCGGACATGCGGCTGCATTGTCGGCGCAGAACTGCCTGAAGTCGTCCGCGTGCTCGCGTAAGAGAATCACCATGTTGGCCTGGAGAATCCAACATCAAATTCCTGCCCGCTGCGCAATCACACTACCACGTGCAGGTTTCGACTGCCGATGTCTGCTGCGTCGGTGAAGGTGCAGGGTAGAAATCAGCCAAGATAACCTGACATGGCCTCCAAGACGGCCAAGACGGCTCCAACATGCATCCGAGACGATCCGAATTGGCCGCAAGACGGCACAATATAGCCTCAAGACGGCCCAAGAGGCCCCCAAGACAGCCCACGACGCCTCCGAAGAGGCCCCCCAAGAGGCCTCCAATAAGCTCCCAAGACGCAAGAACCTTCAGCATGCCTCTTAGAGGCCTCTTGTCCACGACCCATTCACGGCGACGGGATGGGCCAAAATCAACTAAATCCGTCGCCCATTGCCACAGGGGTGCACCGAGTGCCAGATGTTTAAGGTCAGGGTGAGGGGGCCGAATGGTCATTCATTGTCCCTGGGTGCGTGGCTGAAGTGGGGATCCGTGGTGAGAATTCTGCTTATTGCGTTGTTGTTGTTGTCATTGTTTGTTGTCGTCGTCCCACCCGCGACCCACCCGCGACCCACCCCGCGACCCACCCCGCGACCCACCACGCGACCCACCTCGCGACCCACCCCGCGGCCCAACCCGCGACCCATCCGCGACCCAACCCGCGACCCACTCACGACCCACCCGGTGATCCACCCGCGACCCAACCCGCGACCCACCCCGCGACCCACCCCGCGACCCACCCGCGACCCACCCCGCGACCCACCCCGCGACCCAACCCGCGACCCACCCGCGACCCACCCGCGACCCACCCGCCACCCACATGGGACCCACCCGCGACCCACCCCGCGACCCACCCGCGACCCACCCGCTACCCAACATCGACCCACCCGCGACTCACCCGCGACCCATTTGCGACCTACCCGAGACCCACCCGCGACCTACCCACATTGGTTTAACGCAAAAATCGGCGCCTGCGGCGGGCTCGTTGTATAATGTGTGAAACTTTGGCGCCTGCGGCTGGCTTCTCCAGAATCTCGCAGACTGCCGACATTCCCCCTCGCTCTTATCCGCATCTGCGGGGTGAATGCAGGGCGCTGCGGTGATCCGCCGCATGTGTCGCTGATCTGCTGGCCCAGGTTAGTCTATCACAGAGGTGCCCGTGGCGTGCCGAAGTCAAAAGGACCTGGGCCCGTCCACAAGGTTCCCACTGATCCTCGGCTCGTCCCGCTGCCCCCACGAACGACCGCATCAAAGGTGCACTCCGTCGGCTTTCCCGTCCGAGATGGCTCCAAGAGGACCTCCGGTAGGGACCTCGTCGCCAGCAAGTCCGTGCAAGAAGGCCCAAAATAGCCTCCAAGATGGCTCAGGATGGCCCCGAGAGGGCCGAATCTACCCCGAAGATGGCCCAAGATTGCTTCAATACAGCCCAAGAAGCCCCAAGACGCCCCAACAGGGCTTCAAGAGGACCCCCACCCCAGCAGGGCCGCAAGAGACACACTATGCAGGGTGGCAGCGCGCGGCTGCGCCCTGGCTTTCAGGCGGTCTACGTTCACGTGGACGATGGCCTGAGCACCGCTGCCCGCCCCCGTGGAGGTGCAGCTAGAAAGGAAGCGGAGGCGATGATGGAGAAGATGACGCCAGGGAAGAGGCAGGGCTCGCGGTGACCGAGCGCGAAGTCATCGCGGAGGGCTCGAAGATCGTGGGCTACGAGCTGCAGAGTTCTCCGCCTCGCCTGAGGCTGGCCAGTGCCAAGGCCAGCTACCTGGAGGCGGCGCTCACGTGGATCCTTGCGACGCCCTGAGTGGACGTGGAGCTCCTGCACCTGCGGGCCCTTGTGGGCGCATGACCGTGGGGGGCTCTGCTCAGCCGTGAGCTCATGTCGGCGTTTGCCGCAATTTTCGACTTGACGGAGGAGAAGCATGGCCGGGCGGTCAGGTGGCGAGCCTCGGCACGGCGCGCGGTGCGCATCATGCGTGTCTTGAAACGGGTGAAGACCTGCGTGCTGGACCTCCCCGAGGCCCCCGCCCTCTTCGCGTCCGACGCGGAGGGAGAGAACGGGGTGGATGACGGGGGCTACGGCATCGCGTGCACGACCATCTCCGAGGACGAAGCGGAGAGGGTGATCGGCGCTGGCGCTAGGCCAGGGCGCAGTCTCGAGGCTCGACGGCACGGTGACCCACCCCAACCGCGCGGACAAGGAGCTGAGGGGACGTATCCCCGTGTCGCGCATCCCGCGCGAGCTGCTGCAGATCCCCCAGGGCACGTGGAGCGACCTCTGCACGGGGAGATGGCGCCAACCGGACCACATCATCTTGGGTGAAGGCCGTGCCGTGGTGAAGTTGTGCCAGGACCTCTCGTGCCTTGCGGGTGCTCACGATCACGCTAGATGTGACATGGTGGTAATGAACATTTGGCAGCAGCAGGGGCGAAGGGGCGATCTTCGGCCCCACACCTGAACTACCTGCTGCACAAGGTTGGTGCACTTTCAATGGCTACGGGCATCAAACTATACTCACCCTGGGTGGACACCGAACATCAGACAGCAGATGCCTTGTCCAAGAGAAGGTAGATCTGGACGGGCGGAGCCAGCTGGACCCCGATCAGGCTGGCAGAGTGACCGAGAAGACTCTCGAAGTGTATCGAAGTGCTGGGCTCCAGTTTTCATCCTGGACGCTCCAGCGCGGCTTGCGTCCCAGTGGCCCAGACCACTGCAATGATCTCTAGATTGAGTTCAAAAATGATCATAGTGAACACCTCATTCCAGCAAAGGTTTTAATGTTGTTGCTTCAGTTGAACTCTTCTTCCCTCGGATGAAGGGCAAGTTGTTGTGGAGTGAGGACGTGATTGCAGGATGGGAGAGAAATGCAGGCAGGAAGCCTACAGTACGCTTGGGGAAGTTACCTGGCAAGCTCCTGGGAGTTTACCTATAGGTTCCAGCATACATCCTCGTTCGGGTCTCGCCCTTATCGTGCAGTGCCACACGGGCCTACGGCCCTCGGAGCTCTTGGGAATATGAGCTGAAGATCTGTTTGTTCCGCGAGATCTGGGAGAGGACATGGGGCCAGCTTCTGTTTCCATAGCTCTAGCTCCGCGTACAGGTACAGCTCTAGAGGCCTCAGATGGCCCGTATCTTTCAGGAGGACCTGGACATCATGGAGGTGCTAGAGGACATCACGAGGGCCACTCCAGCAAACAAACCGCTCTTCCCCTACAGCTTGGCCCAGTACAGCAGACTCCTGAAGAACGTCGAAGGCTCCCTGGGCCTCTCCATGGGGTGGGGCCCTCATAGTCCCCGGGCAGGATGGGCCAGCGACTCTCGGGCGGAGGGAATCTCGTTTGAGGAAGTTCATGAGCGAGGAAGGTGGATCTCGGATTCCAGCCTGAGAATCTACCTGGACATCACTGGAGCGAGCCACATCCTCACCCAACTCAACGCGGAAATATTCGCGCAGCAGCTGTACGGCGCCAATACTTTCCAGCACACGTTTGGGGAGCGGCGCGTCTTCACGGACATGGCGCCGAAGGGCATGATCAAATGTAATGGATAGTGGGTCAAGGGCCAGAGTGTTGGAGGAAGCGGAGGGGGTGCCACCGCTGCCAGCCACACCTATCTCGCCAGGCAGCTGGGTGACGGTGGGTGCACTGGCTTCGAGGGCTACGTCGCGGACGGCGTCGCCAGGGCAGTCTCGCTGGTGCTCACGCCGCTCAACAGCCAAGTCCCATGGTGTACCTCCGTCACCTACGACGCTCACAGCGGTACCGCCGGACGCGGCGGGCGCCCGTCTGTAGCACAGGGTGCAGTTCGTGGCGCAGCCGCAGAAGTCTCAGCAGCAGCCGCGCGACCAGAAGATGAGCTACATGGCTGCCAGCTGCAGTAAGGTACTGAGGCCTTGGTTCGGCCCTTGTTTCTTCCCTGCCATTATCCTCGTGGTGCTCCGTATCTCCATACCTTCAGCTATCTTCCCCAGCATGTCCAGGAGTGCCGAGGCAGCGGCAGCCCTGGTCGAGAATGTGGCAGGGGCCGGTGGTGCAGTTGCGTTGGCGGCCAGAAACCTTACGCTGGCCGTCAGTGGAGTGGCACTGTCGATTGCAAGGAATTCAGCATCTCTGGTTGACGAGGCCTGGTCGGGCATCGATCTGTTAGGATGCCGCCTCAACGTGACAGGTGGACGTTGCGTCGTGGACATCGGGGCCCGCTCTCGCCCAGACATGATGGAGGAGCTCGAGCGGGGCTTGCTGGTGGTGCCCGAGGCTTTGTCTGTGGAGCTGCGGAGTTCCATCCAGGCTGTGTCTCCCAGAGCACCGTCGGCGGCTAGGATCTCCGCTCAATTCAATGTCACTGAGAGCTTCTACATCTGGGACTGGGAAATTATGCTTGTGGCTGATGAGATCCTGGTCATCTGCAACTATTTTGCGAGGTTGGGCTTCGAACTACAATGGGCTAATCCTTCGTGGACCTTGACGGGTGCCGGCCCAGGTGGAGAGCTCGAGCGCATCACAGCCAGAGTCAAGGATGCCATCGAGACTGCAGTAGACGCGTCGGTCATGAGAGCGCCGCTGAGGTCATACGAGGTGCTCCAACTTCCCACCATTCGCCCGCCCTAGTGGTTCTGGGTCGGCAGAGGTGCCGATGCTCAATTTGACTGGTTGAAGTACGCATGCGGGTGGTGGCTCTGAGGTGGGCAAAGCCATCGGAGTCAAGTGTATCGCGAGACGGAGGGTGGCATACTCAGAGCAGTCTGTGTGGATTGAAGCTTGGAGATCGAAGGATTTTCCCTTGAGTTGCGGGGTGAGGTCTCGTTTCAAGTTTGACGCCCTCGGTCGAGGGGAGTTTGAGATTTGTGTTGCAGCACGTCCGCACTGGTAGATCGAACGTGACAAGATGGCTTTGGTCGAATCGTGTTCTGGTGGAAACAGGTTGTTGCGATCATTTCTCTGTTCTGTCCAGGCTTCGCCTGTTGCACGTCCCTACCTGTACAGGCTTCGCCTGCGGCACTGTCTCTCCCCTCCTCCTCTCTGTCCTTTCCCTGGGCCGCGGGGGCGGTGCCTGGGGGTTGGGTGGGTGGGTTCCCGAGGCGTTTCGGAGCCTTGCTCGGCCTTGTACATTTTATACATATATATATACACACCTACATACATACATACATACATACATACATACATACATGCATGCATGCATGCATGCATGCATGCATACATACATACATACATACAGACATACATGCACACATGCACACTTGCATACATGCATACATACATACATACATGCATGCATACATACATACATACATACATACATGCATGCATACATACATACATACATACATCCACCCATGCATGCATACATGCATGCATGCATGGATGCATGCATACATACATACACACATACATGCATGCATACATACATACATACATACATACAGACATACATACATACATACGCACATACATACATACATACATTACATACATGCATGCATGCATGCATGCATGCATACATACATACATGCATGCATGCATGCATACATACACACATGCATACAAGCATACATGCATGCATGCATGCATGCATGCATGCATACATGCACACATACGTACCTATGTACATACGCATGTACGTGCATACGTACATACATACAGACATGTAACTACACATGCGTGTATGTACATTTATATTTGTGTATATAGACATGCATGCATGCATGCATGCATGCATGCATGCATGCATACATACATACATACATACATACATACATACATACGTATTCCCAATTGTATGCTTCCATTTCTCAGGACCCCCCCCGAAATGGACCCCCCGAATCCCGGCACCCCGGGACCCGATGGACCCGGGACCCCCTGGATCCATGGCCCCGGAGACACCCTAGACGCCCCTGCAGGAGGCCCCTCAAGCCTTTCAGAGTTTCTGGAAGCCCTTGCTGGGCCTCGGCGGCGGGCCCAAATCGGTCAGGAGGGCGGCCGAACGCCCCCCCGAAGGCCCCAAGAGGCCCAAACACCCACCAGACGCCCGAAGACGAACCCAAAGAAAGCTCCCAAGAAGCTTCCCAATCGCAGAGTTATGCTACCGACGAACCCCACATACTTCGTGTTACCTCTTGTCTTAGCATAGCTGACGTGCAACATACGTGGATGATGCTAGGTGGTCAAGAATGTGCCACGCCGTGGACGACAAGGGCGGATAGCGCCCCCACCCCCAGCGCACCCCGTGTGGCGTCGAGGAAATGCCACGCCTGCCATGCCTTGCGAGCCTGCAACGCATAGAGTCCCCACCCCCAGCGCACCCCCTGTGGCGTCGAGGAGATTCCACGCCCTGCGAGCCTGCAGCGCATAGCGCCCCCACCCCAAGCGCACCCCCTGTGGCGTCGAGGAAATGCCACGCCTGCCATGCCTTGCGAGCCTGCAACGCATTGGAGCCGCGGTGAGAGACCACCTCCTGAACACCCCCTCTAGTGTCAAGAAAATGCCACGCCTGCCATACTCTCCGACCCTGGCACGCATAGTGTCTAGAAAGTGCCACGCCTGCTGTGACTGGGCGACTGGGGCGCATAGACGCCGCGGTGAGGGACCACCCCCTGCGCACCCCCTTATGGTGTCGAGAAAGTGTCACGCCCGCCTTGCCAGGAGCGTATAGAGACCGCGCTGTGAGTGCGAGAGAATGACTAGGTCTGCGTTGGTGTGTCATGTGTATGCGTAAGATCTGTGTCAGGGTGCCCAGTATGTGGTGCATGTGTCTTGGGTGTATGCTGCAGTGAACACGCCAGGTGTGTCTGTGTCTGTGTGTGTGTGTGCATGCGTGCGGCTGTATGTAGACGCGTGTCTCATGTGCGTGCCGTGCACGCGTTGCGCGTGGGTGAAGGGAGGAGGGAGGGAGGTGTGTTGCGGGAGACGCGGGCGCGACGCGGCAGGGAAGAAAACCAAAGCCCCGCGAAACATGTTGGGAAGTACATGATTTGCCAAGGTTTTTACATGATTTTGGGAATGCCCTGTTCTTCGGTCTTCTGGGCGCCCGCGGCCGCCAGGGAGCCTCGAAAATCAGCCCCAAACCATCCGAAAGGGCTTCGAGGCAGTCCAAGGGAGCCCCAAGACGGCACAACAAGGCTCCGAGATGGCCCAAGACAGCCCCATGACGGCCCAAAATGGCCCCAAGACACCCTCCGAAGCATTCCAAATCGTGACCTGGTCGTTCAGGGACACCGCGGTTGGAGGCAGGGTGGCCGGGGAAGCCCCCAGAGATCCCAGAAGGCGCCCAAGAAGCCTCCAGAAAGCTGTTTAGGACAGCCTGACTGACTTCTGTGAAGCCCCCAAAAGCTCTCCAATGAAGAGCCTCCGCAAAAAGAGCTGAGGATGATGTGGACTAATTCGCAGGCTAGGGCGAGAATGAGGAACAGAAAAAGTTGGAGGAAGGATAATGAATAAAATCATTATCACGGCGATACCAGAAAAGGCAGCAAGGAGTTATCGCTAAATTGTCTGTTTGACCTTCCTGCCATTCCGCCTGCATGCCAACTTCAAGGACCAAGGTGCATGGCGAAGCGCCAACGCAGTCTTCTGTGCGCATACACACACATGTATATATATATATATATATATATATATAAATTGTGCAATTAGTGTGGAAGAAAGTATGTGGTGTACTCGATGTGGTGCAATAGATGTTGTGCAATAGATGTGGCCCAACCTCTGTTGTGCAAGCTATGCGGTGCAATCTTTGTAGAGCAACCACAATGCGTAGTCTAAACCCAACGGCGGCGGTGGGCGCCAACGAGGCGGCGACGGGGCGGCGACGACGACAACATAGCCGCCAGACCGCCACACTGGCCCAGACGAGTGCAAGCACTGAGTGGGGAATCATAAGATTTTGCTGCATACGTTGCGCGTTTGCCTCCCAAGCAGTGGGCGCGGAGCACCTTGAATTGGACACCGCCAGGCTCGCGCTCACAGGGGCCTCCTCTGCTGTCGTGGGATGCGAAGATAACTGCGCTTCGCCTCGCGAGTAACACCCACTCGTGACGAGAAGCCCCGCAAGATGGCGTCGCGTGGGTAAGACCTGACAGAAGACTTCCTGGATTTCTGCACATGAGCACGGATTTCTTGAACATTGCATCGTACCACGTCTGGACGCGGAGCGCGTTTGGCACACGAGATGCTTCCTTCCCTTCCCCCTCGCATGGCTTCGCCAATCCGCCGCCCTGCTTTCTCCTTCTTTGTCTCACTCCGTTCCCGCTCCTCCCCCCTCGCATTCCCCCTCTCCTCCTCCCTCTCTCCGGCTCCTCGGTTTCTGCCTTGCCCTACCTCGGGGCGGACGGTGTCAGGGCAAAATGAGAACTGATGTTTCATACTGCCTTTCCTTTCCGCAGCCCACTGGCACCTGGTTTTCCCCTCGCGCCCTTGATGGGCCCGCCCTCGTGCGTGCTGGGTGACTTGACTTGGCTGCCTATCCTCGTCCCTGGTGTCTTTCGGGCCATAACTCGGGTCTCCAGCGGCCATTCGGGACGATTTGGGCAGCCCCTCAACGCTCTCGGCGAAGCGCAGCTGCTGGAACGCACCCCGAGGCTGGAAAACCGCCGGAAACCAGCGAACACGCCCGAAAACCCCGAGACTCGAAAGCCAGAAACGTTCCCCCCCTGAGCCTGTCCCCCCTGAACGTTGCCCTTGGGCTCCAGGGCTGCCTGCAGGTGCCCTGGCGCGTGCCCGGCGGTGGGCGCGTCGAAGGCGCCGCCGCGGCAAGCCAAGCGCAGCTCGGCGGCGGTGCGGAAGGTGGGGCCCTGCGGCCGCAACCAATCGCCGCCGTCGCCTCCGCCGCCGCGGCGGCCGTCGCCGTCGCCACCGCGGCGGCGGTCGCCGCTGCCGACGCGGCGGTGACCTTGCCGACAAGGCGGCAGTGGGGGCCGGGGAAAGGGCCGACCCGGGGCGGGCTCCCGAGCGCCGGTGCGGGCAGCAAGGTCCTGGAGTGTCCTGGTCGCCAGGCTACGTGGCACAGGGCACTGCCACAGAGCCCGAGCGGCGGTGGGGGCAGCGATGTCCTGGAATGTCCTGGTCGCCACGGTCGTGGCCCAGGATACTGCCACAGAGCCCGAGCGGCGGTGCGGGCATCAATGTCCATGTCCTGGTCGCCACAGCCTACACATGGAAGACAACACCAATTCATGATCTGTCAACATCTACTCAGACATTGGGATCGAATCGGAATGTACGACGCATCGGCCTGCATCGTCCTGGAGCCGAAATCAGATCGGAGCGGCTGGGCCAAGAGGCGCAAAATCGCCATAGCACCAGGCTGCATCTGATCGTCAAATGGCCCTAGAAAGCAGACTGTACCCACCCTGGCGATATCATTAGCACATGTAGCACCAAGCATGAATAAATAACCATTTTGGGCAGCGCCTTCCCAGTGATATCGTGGGGGCAAAAATCAAGATAGACTAAACATCAATGCCGCCTCGAAGAACCTCAAACCAATCCCAACGGAATCTCACAGGAACCCTAGGGGAACCTAAGGAATTTGGAGGACCCAGGCTCCCGTGGACACATGAAGTCTTATTGCTGTCCCAGTGCAGACATTGAGTATCTCAGGGAAACCTACGAGAGAGTCCACGCAGGGATACCGCAGACGGATTCTGCGGCAGTGCTTGCACTTAGGGGTCCTTACTTCTTCTCTGAGGAACTGTGCCCGAATGTCGGTTTGGGGGCTATGCTGTCGCCGTCGCCGCTCCGTCGCCGCCCCGTCGCCGCCCGTCGTCTGGGCCACGGTGGCACTCTGGCGGGTATGCTGTCGCCGTCGCCACCCCGTCGCCGCCTCGTCGCCGCCCGTCGTCTGGGCATGGTTTGTTGGTCGGGCGGCTATGTTGTCGAAGTCGCCGCCCCTTCGCCGCCGAAATTGCACAACGTAGCTTGCATCGCATATAGCTTCGTGTTTTTGTTTTTTTGGCCCAAACAAAATTCGAATATACCTCCTCCGAGGCTGAGACTATCCGCTCTCTCTGGGGATGCACAATTTACACACGTTTCTGCCCCATCGTTCGTTAAAACGATGAACCCTTTTACCATACCGGCGGCTAAACCGGCTTCCCGCACCCCCCACCATCCCTGGCCCCAAAAAACGCACGCACACTCGTTTACCAAAACCATGAAAGTGCAAAACCCTTCGGAAAGGAAAAACACAAAAACAACGGGACAAACCGCACACGCGCGAATCGTCGCGCGCGCATTCCGAAATCGCTCACAAACGCTAGTGTTCGCACCGAATTCAAAACCAGGTGCCCCGAACAAATGTAAAACAACAAACATGGTTTGGCAACGTGGTATTTCATAAAAACGTATGCACGCGGGCTGTTGCGAACTCTTGAACTACTTTTTTCCCCAACATGTTCATCAAATGCTGCCAAATTGCGCGCGTGCTGGGTGGGCACGACTGTTGTGAAATAGTATCATGCGGCCTACTCGCGCCCGTCGGCCGCGCGCGCATGCCGAAATCCTTCCATCACTTTCATCGCCGACGCGTGGACACCATCATCGTCATCGGCGTGACCAACATCGGCATCGTCATTGGCCTTGCCGTTCAACGTCGCTACTATCATCATCGTGCCTGCCTTTGTCGACGTCGTCAAGATACCGCGCCCGCCCGAGCCACCGACTCGCACAGAAGTGCCCGCGCACCAGCGCGGTCTGCCAGACGCGGTGGGAATTGCCCAGCGGTCAGCGCTACAGCGGCCGCGCCGGTCGCGCCAAACTAGCTGGCCTCTCTGCGCGCGAGCCTGCGCGCGCCAGCGCGGCCGCAGCGGAGCGCCAGCCAGCGCCAAGCAGTCATCGCAATCGCAAGGGTTGCAATCCAGCAGACTTGACAACTTCAGGTTCGGCAGGGTGACTTGCGTCAACTTCATGTTCGGCAGTGCAGATTGCACAGCGCAAATTGCACCAAGAGATTCTCCTTCCTTAAAATTGGGATCTACCTCCACCGCCCCTGGTTTATCGCTTCCCCCTGGGATAATGCGGTTTACATGCGATGTTTTCCCATAGTTCATTCTGAATATGGACTGATTCCATTCCAGCCAAAAACCTCACCGACGCCCCCCCCTCATCCGCTTCACATGCAACTACGCGCGCACACTTGTTATCCAGCACCACAAATTCCATAGCATCTCTTGCAATCAAATGAACAAAACCCACAAGCGCGCCGCGTCGCGCGCGTATGCCGAAATCCTTCAAACAAACATTAAGTTTCGCACCGATTTCAAAATCAAGCTCCCGGAAAACATAGTAGAACATTGATTGTGTGTGTGTGCAACGTGTTTTGTGCCAAAAAGCCTGCGCGCGCTCTGGCGACACCTTGCGAAAACCATATGTTTTTCCTGCATCTGCATCGTCGAAGGCGACTAAGTGGGCATTTCGCGCGCGCACGTCGAAATCATTTCAACGCCCTTGCGCGCGCGTGCTGGGCGGGCGCGATCCCTGACTACTAACACCGCGCGGTCCACTCGCGCCTGTTGGCCGTGAGCATGTCCGAATCCTGCCAGCGCTGTGATCGCCGACGCGTGGGCAATATCATCGTCGTCGGCGTAACCTGCGTCGGCGCCATCATTGGTCTCGGCGTCGATGTGGTCATCATCGCCACCGGATTCGCCACTATCATCGCGTCTGCCGTTGTCGACGTCGCCATGGCACCACGCCTGCCCGAACCACGACGCGCACTGCAGTGCCCGCGAAAACAATGCGCCCTGCGAGACGCGCAAGGAAGCCCCCAGCGGTCAGCGCCATCGCGGCCGCGGCGGTCGCGCCAAACTAGCCGGCCGCTCTGCGCGGGGGCCTGCGCGCGCTAACGCGGCCGCAGCGACGCGCCCGCCGGCGCCGAGCAGTCATCGCAATCGACGCAGCGTGGGCGTTGCAAACCAGGTCGCGGGGTGGGCGGGTGGGATGATTGCGCGAGCACTGGACTTGGCAACTTCAAGTTCGGCAGGGCGAACTGCGCCGCAAAGATTGCGCCGCATATTTTCCCTCATTAGAAAAGAGATTCCACCCCTCATGTCCTCGCGCCCCCCCCCTTGAGCCGGCGCAATTTACCTGCGATCCTGCCCCATCGCTAATTTTCAACATAAAACCATGCCGCCCCAGCCGGGCCGCCATCGACCCACCCGCCCTGCCCCCGTCCAAAAATGCTGCGCGCGCAAACTCGCGCACCGCAAATATACGTTTCCAAAACAAACAAATCGCAACAAATTAAACGCGCGCGCGCCGCGCGCGCATCCCGGAACCCTCGAAGAAACTTCGGTTCCGCACGGGTGCTTTGTAAAACAAAAAACTGCGCGCGCGCTCGTGCGAATGTGCATGAACACCATCAGTTCACAATATTTCCATCAAGTGAGACCGAGCGGGCATCTCGCGCGCGCGTCGCAATCGTTCGAACGCCCTTGCGCGCTCGCGGGCGGGCGCGACCCGCGTCAAAATAACGCCGCGCGGGAGGCGCGCCCGCATCGGCCGCGCGCGCGTCTTAGTCCGTCCAGCGCTTTCATCGCCGACGAGTGAACGACATCGTCGTCGCCGGCGCGAGCAGCATCGGCGTCGCCAGTGGCCTTCCGTCGCCATTGCCATCATCGCCACCTTCACCGCTGCGATCATCATCGCGTCTGCCGTCGTCGACGTCGCCGTGATGCCGCGCCGCCCGAGTCACCGACTCGCACTGACATGCCCGCGCATCAGCGCGGCCTGCAAGACCCTCTGAGAAACCTCCAGCGATCAGCGCCATCGCGGCCGCGTCGGTAGCGCCAGACAAGCCGGCCTCTCTGCGCGCGAGCCTGCCCGCGCAAGCGCGGCCGCAGCGACGCCCCCGCCACCGCCGAGCGGCCATCGCAATCACCGCCGCCCGGGCTTTGCAAACTAATTTGCGGGCGGGTGGGATGATTGCGCGAGCGGCGGGGTTGGCGACTGCAATCAGCGGGAGGCCCTCGCCACAAACAAATAAGGTAAAACTTCACCCCCCCACCGGGTGATCGACCCCCTTTTCGCATTTCAAATTGCATGCGATTATGCCCCATCGCCCATCCTAAATACGAAATCACAGCACCCCGGGGAAGGCGATGCCCCCCCCGCCATCCTCTGTCAAACATGTTACGCGTGCGCACTCGTTTTTCAAAAGCCGTCAGTTTTCAACAACAGCTTCGGCAAATGACACGACATGCACGCGCGCGCGTCGTCGCGCGCGCATGCCTGGACATTCTAAAACCTTTGGTTTCGCAAACGTTTCAAAACCGAGTGCCAAACAAACATATAGAAAACAAAAACGTGATTCTCAACATAAAATCGCGCGCGAACTCTTGCGAGGTCCTAAGAAACCATATATTAGTTTTCCAATTTTCTCAGAGAATGCGGCCACGCGGGCTTCGCGCGCGGCGCGCGCGCGTCGTTGTCGCGCGCGCATGCCGAAATCAATCAAAAACCTTCGGTTTGGCAGCGATCTTAAAAACCGAGTGCCCGAAAAAACAAATCAACGCATGCGGTTTTGCAACGAACGTTTTCAAAGAAGCGCGCGCTCGGGCTCTTGCGAATTCTTCAGAATGGCATTGGCTATTTTTTTGTTCAGCATATCCATGGAATTCTGCCATAGGGACCTCTGGCACCGCATGCCGCAATCATTCGCGAGCCCTTGCGCGCAAGCGGGTGGAGGGGCGCGATCCGCGCCAATGCATGCCATGCGGCCCACTCTCGCGTCGGCCGCGCGCGCGTCGAATTCTTTCCAACGCCATCGTCGCCGACGCGAGGGCGCCGTCATCGTCGCCGGCGCGATCAGCATCGGCGCCCGCCAGCATCGCGATCGCCGTCGTCGTTGTCAACATCGCAACCAGCATCGCTGCCGCCACCCCGGCCGCAGTCGACGTTGCCGCGATGCCGCGCCCGCCCAAGTTGCCGACTCGCGCAAAAAGGTGCCCGCTGGGATGCGCCCGGCGGTCAGCGCCGCCGCGGCCGCGTCGGTCGCGCTAAGCTAGACGGCCACTTCGCGCGCGCTTGGGTTGGCGCGGCCGCGGAGATGCACCGGCCAACGCCGGGCATGCATCGCAATCGCCACCGCGTGGGTTTTGCAAACCAATTTGCGGGTGGGTGGGCGGGACGTTTGCGAGTGCATGGGATGCGTCAGCTCGTTGGTTAAAATCAACTGCGCCACGCAGATAGCACAAAATGGGTCCTCCTGTCTTGAAGAAGAATAGATTCTACCCCCGCCCCAGGATAGCCCCCCTTTTCGCACTGCAGTGCACTAATGATACTGCCCCATCGTCCATCCGAAATATGAATTCGCACCATCCCAGGGGGGGGGGGCAGCATTGGCGCCCCCCTTCTGCGAAAAAAATTGCACGCGCACTCGTTCATCGCAGACCATCAATTCCCAAGAACCCCTTGAAAAAGGTGGGGCGAGATGCGCGCGCGCGTCGTCGCGCGCGCGTGCCGACATCCCCCGCAAACCTTAGGCGTCGTGAGGATTTGAAAATCGGATGCCCCAAAAACATGTGAAAACACATGATTTCGCAATGCTGACTATAAAAAACAACCGGCGCGCGCGCTCGGGCGAAGTCTAAATAACAACAACAACAACAACAACAACAACAACAACAACAACAACAACAACAACAACAACGACAACAACAACAACAGCAGCAGCAACAACAACAACAAAAACGATAGGTTTTCAACATTTCCATAATAGCCTACCAAGCGGGCCTCGCGCGCGCGCATGTCGAAATCGTTCGAACGCCCTTGCGCGCGCGCCGTCGCTAGAAACCTTCGCAATAAACGGGGCGAAGCGCACGCGCGCGCGCGCCGTCGCGCGAGCGCATGCCGAAATGCGTCAAAACCACCTCGGGCGTCGCCAGGATTTCAAGACCGAGCGTCGCGAAACCTTTCCTTATAACAAACTGTTTCGCAACAGCCGTTTCTAAACAAAAAAAGCGCTCGCGCTCCTGCGGATTCTTACAAAAAAAAAAAACATATGCGCATTTGTGCTTCAGACTGTTGGCTGAATTCTGCCAAACGGGCCTCTCGCGCCGCATGCCGAACTCATTTCAACTCCCCTGCGCGCGTGCTGGGGCGGGGGGGGGGGCGCGATCCGCGTCAAATAACACGGCCTACTCTCGCGCGTCGGCCACGCGCGCATGTCGCACTCCAAAACCTCCATCGCCGACGCGAGGGCGCCGTCATCGTCGTCGGCGCGATTCGCATCGGCGCCGTCACTAGCCACGCCGTCGTCGTCGTCGCTAGCATCGCTACTATCATCGTCGCGTTTGCTGTTGTCGACGTTGCCTTGGTACCGCGCCCGCCCAAGTCGCCGACTCGCACTGAAGTGCCCGCTGGGATGCGCCCAGCGGTCAGCGCCGCCGCGGCCGCGTCGGTCGCGCCAAACTAGCTGGCCACCGCGCGCAACTGCATGCGCGGACTGGCGCGGCCGCAGAGATGCACCAACCAATGCCACGCACTCATGGCAATCGCCGCCGCTCGCGTTTAACAAAACAACTTGCGCGTGGGTGGGTTGGATGGTTGCGTGAGCAGTAGTATTGACAATTTCGAGTTCCACGAGTGAGCTGCACAACTTAGATTGCACCACGTCCGTTGCACTGCATGAGGTTGTACCGCATGGATTGCGCCACAGAGGTTGCACGACATATATTACGCAGCATAGGTTGCACCGCATACTTTGCGCACCACATAGATTGCACCGCATATACCGCACAATCTAGATTGGTCCACATAGATTGTGCACATAAGCTGCTAGAACAAACTGTTGGGGGTGCGTGCTGGCTGACATATAAAACATAAACTAATCAATTGTCCACTGCGGTCGACGTGGCGGTTTCTCAAGCAAGAGTATACAACCGCATCGCCAAAAGAAATTCAAAAGAGCCCCATATCCATCTCAAAAGAGCCCCATTCGAAGGTGACGACAGTTTCCCTCCACTCATCTCGGGTAGGATCCCAAGGTAAGAGCGCCTGGCGAAGGAATCTCCTGGGAGCCTTAAAAAACCCGTCGTCGGAACCCTCCTCCTGTTCATCCTGCCTGCCCAGAAGATCTTCTGTCGCGGGCCTCTGCGGGTGATATCGCTTCTGCCGCGGCCCCGGTGCTGGATGCGTTGTAATTTCCTCTGATTCAGGGGGGGTACTGACTGCTTCCTAGGGCTATCTGAATCGAAGCGGGCCGAGCGACCCAAATAGGTCCTGCGAATTTCGATTTGGGATGGAAGACACCGCGGGGAATGAGAAGAATTCAACTTTCGATCCCTCGGAGGTTGGTTCTTGTCTGGAACACCCTTCGTCATCCGAGTCAGGTTCGCTAAAACAATCGGGGTCCATCAGGTTGTGGATCAATATACTCAGCTGCTCTGGCAAAACATAACACAACGACAGCTCTGCACCGTATCATGTCTGGAATCCCTGCGCCTTCATTCCAGCCCGGCACGGCGCATACTCTTTTCGGCCCTGGAGGCCAAACACTGCGCACAGCACCATACTCGGCACAACCATCGACGACGCCTCACGAGACGCCAACGCGGCACAGTGCACACAAGCCGCTCGCCTGCACGAGACCACCATGCCTGGCCAGGGCCATCCTGGGAGCCCAGGTGGCCCTGGCCAGGCATAGTGGTGTACCGCCATTGCACGACCGTAAAGGGGCGCCGAGTTGCCGAGATTATGAACGAAGGGCCTTTTCTGGCCACGGCGAGCCTCGGCCACGACCCGGCTCCCCGACCCGAATCTCTGGCCTGTGGAACGGCCCGAAAATCAGACACCCTCCTGAGCCAAGAACTACCCTGATCTCGGAGCAAGGGAAGTTGCAGCAACGGCAACTCAAAATCGGGCCCCGACTCCTTCTGGGGTCCAAACCGTGCTGCCTCCAGCCGTGGCGACGAAGGCACCCCGAAGGCCAACTGCCGCTGCCTCCTGGCGTTGCATTTTTTTCTCCACGGGCGTTTTCCCATAGCTTCGGGCTCCAGGACCCTCACAGATCGATCCGGCTCGAAAACTGACGCGCAAAAGATGGGGTCCAGGGCTCCGGCGGTGATTTTCTATCCAGTGTTGCATTCTTCTGCAACGTCAGATCTGAAGGATTCCTCCCAGCGCGGCCCGCAGACAGAGAAAATGCGGCGCGCCCCGCAGAAGCGCCGCGCGCCGCGGCCCGCCGCGGCGACGGGGCGCCGCAACCGCGGCAGCGCGGCCGCGGCCCGTCGGCTGGCGGCGCCGGCCGCGGCCGCCATGAGCGCGCCGATCCGGCGCGAAGCGGCGGCCGGCTCCGCGCGCGTCCCCTCTATAGGCGCGGAGCCCGCGGCGCTCGGCGCCGCGGCGCAGCGACGGCCCGGCGGCGGCGGCGCTCGGGGCCGCAGCGCGGCGGCGTGGCGCGGGCGGCGCCGCAGCCCGGGTGGGCGGCGTGACCAGCGGCGGCGGGACCGCGGTGCGGGTCCACACAGGAGCTCCCAACAGAGGGCTCGGAGGCCCGCAGGCCTCCGGGCCTTGGGACTTTCGGGCGTCCTCGGGGGGCCCTGGAGTCCCTTTCACGCAGTCGGAGCTCGGCGAGGGGCCTTCAGGGCGGCGGCGCTGGAGCCCCCAGTGGCCCCTGCGGAGCGGCTCGGGAGCACTCGTACGGCAAGTTCGCGTCGTGACGACCCTGGCCTTGGTTTCTGGCACCGCGTGGATTGCTCAACCTGTAACGATCGGCGGCTATCCGATCGCCAGTCCGTAATTTCTATATATATATATATATATATATATATATAGATAGATAGATGTGTGTGTGTGTGTGTGTTTATACATTCATATATATATATATCCTGGTTTGGGGCCACTGGCGGCAGTCAATCTTGAATGCGAGCGGCGGGGTCGTTGCCGCGTCGGTACGACACAAATCGGCCGTACCCTGACATCGGGGCGTCGTGGAGAAAGAAATCGAGACGGCTGGTTTTGCTTGCCTTTGGTCCCCGCCCTGACTCCTGTGGGCGCCTCAGGTCGTCCCCAAGGCCATCTGGAGCCTTTGAATAAGAGATGCGGTGGTGCATGCTTGCTCCCCCTTCCTTCCTCCCTCCTTCCTCCCTCCTGCGTAGGTTTGGCTCGAGCGGTTGCATAACCGGTTCCGCGCCGATCCCCGCCGCGACGCCCTATCGGGCCGCCATCCGACAGGCGCGACGCCTGCCTACTCTCCTCCTTCCTATCCCCAGCGGCCTCGTGACGAGCCCGCTCCTCATCGTAGAGCGCGCAAGCAGCGCGCCAACGCCCGCACGCTTTTAAGGGTGCACAAGGCCGCGATGATGCTTTCACAGCACCACTCCTTTCAGGGCATCCCCCAGCAAGGCGCTGTTCCTCCTACCTCACCCCCTCAGCATGCGCCACTATCTGGGCTGCAGCAGCACGGCATGGCTACTTCTCCCACCCAGCGCTTGGCTGCCCCTCCCTCACCGTCTCTTTATGCCACGCGCCTGCCCTTGGACTTTTTTCCTCCACCCCAGCAGCCAGTGCACCAGAAAGGCAGCGCCCCGCCCGAGTTCTGGTATTGCCTGCAATGTGGCCGGGCCAATACCACTTTGGATGCCTCATGTCCCAACTGTTTTCCGACTAGGGCCGCAGGTCACCAACAAGCAAAGGTCGGCTCAGTCAAAGGTCAGGGGCAGCACAGGCCCCTGCATGATGGAGGCGCGGGGCCGGGCCACAAGGGCCCTCGCTCCTTTTCAGGCACCACGGGGGGGATGCACCAGGGCAAGGGCCCCGCACCGACAGGTGCGCCGTCCTTCGACCAGGTGGCTGCATGGGCAGCGGAATACGGCCTGCTCCCCGCGCCACCAGGAGATCATGCGGTCCAAGAGGCTGGGATCTCCAACAAGGAGCGCAAGAAGCGAGAGAAGGACGACGCTCGCAGAGCTCGCGAGTACCAGCGCAGAGACGGGGAGCAGCCTCCAGTGAAGGCTCCTGGCACCCCACACGGGGCCAAGGACGCAGGCATCATAGGGCAGTCTCCCCAGTCACTGCCTTCCCCTTTTGCGCCTCCTCAAGACGGCGTGGCCACTCCCCCTACACTCTTCGGTCCTACCTCTGTACAGCAGTCCCCTTTCCTCGCGGCCGAACAGGCCTCTGCCTCGCTTGGAGCGCTGGATCCCGCCACCGAACTCTCGGAGGCGGAGCTCACAGCGCAGTGCCCTACCCTTACCCCAGAAGAGGCGCACTCTCACTCAGCCTGGCTTTACCCCCCGCTTGAGCCCGACCGCCTGCTGGAGCACCGCAAGGCCCTTGCAATGAGCAAGGAGGCACTAATCCTGCAGCTTAGGGCCTCAACTCTCCTAGGACACTCCGATATGCGTATCACCGAGATCCGTAAGGAGATTTCACTAGTTAATTTTCAATTGGCCAACGCGAGGGATCCGCTGGCCAAGATTAGCGAGCAAGAGCACGTGGTGGCCTCCCTGCAGGCCAATTGTGAGCAATTGGCAGCCAAACAAACGCAGGCGGAGGAGCACGTGCGCAACATTGCCCTGGCCCTTCAGACCGCACAAGCGGACCTCAGCCAGGCTGCCATGCTACTAGCTTATTTCAAGTCGCAAGCACCGCCAGTCGCCGCCATCACTGACTCGCTCATGATGGGGGACGCGGCGGAGGAGCCAGGTGCAGTACAGCGCACTGCGACACTCTCTGCAACGCATACAGGTGAGGAGCAAGCCGACCCACATGACCTGGGAACGGCCACGCCCCTCACGGCAGCGCCGACCTCTCCCCCACTCCTCCATTGCCCAGCGCCCCTTCCAGGCATCCAAGGATTGGAACAGCCTTACATCACATCACTCTCTGCGGCCATGCAAAGCAACGCCGAGGCCATGGCCAGGGAAGTTGCCACCATCAAGGCAAATTTTGACTCCCAGGCCCAAGCCATGCGCAACTCAGTAGAAACCCTAGTCTCACAGATCAAGGCCGGGCAATTAGTGCCAGCCGCCACCTCTAGCCACGGCGCTACGGTCCGAGGGGGGGCCACAGCGCCGTTAGGATGTGAACAGGCCCGCGCTTCCCCCAAAGCAGGCCCGCTATTCCGCCTAGGTTTCGTGCCCAAACCAGGGCCAGCGCCAGTGCCCAAGTCGCCGACAGGGGAGGCGATCACCACTGCGCCCTCGTTTCAAGATAGCTCAGTTAGGGAAGACGCTATCAACCAGCAAAGCCCGGCATCAGCTTCAGTCGAGGATCCCAACGGCATGCCCCCACCTACCCGCTCTGCCAGCCAGATTGGGTGGGACCTCTCCGATGAAAAAGGCGAGCCAGTCTCCATGGCACCCCCCCGCCGCAGCGCAAGCGCGCAGGCCAGGGGCAGACCCGCGCGTGCGGGTCAGGCCGAGCAGCGCGCGCTATCAGGCATCAGCGAGGAAGATTTTGTAGCTAGGCAGGCAGCACGCAGCAAGAGCCCTCGTGGATCACGTCGCCCCAGGCCCGAGACAGCCGAGGATGAGCCAAAGGCACGTGCAGGGGCATCCGCCTCGTCTACCCCACGCAGCCCTGCAGATGCAATGGCAGAAGCAGAGGCTGCGGACCTCCGTGCTGAAGCCGAGGCCCACGCGGCACAAGCTGCTCAGGACGATTTAGCCCAGGCAGCGCGCGACGGCACGGTTTTTCAGGTCGCTCCCCCGGACACTGCCCACGGGTGAACCTGGGGGGGCGGCAAGGTATTCGCCGCAGCCCACTCCCGCCCATGAGGTGGATGCTACCGGTGCTAACGGCTACCTCCATTCAGCTGGTCAGGGACTTCGATGTCATCTTTCCAGCCCTCCACTCCTCCTCCATCCCCACATGGCACAGCCTTGTCTTTGATACTCCCTACGCGGCTTTTGACTCCGCGGATATATATATATATATATATATATATATATATACCGACGCCAGCGGAGGGGCCTCCAAAGGAGATCTTGCTGGCCCACCAGCGTGGGCTTTTCTGGTCTTTGCATGGCTTAACGGCACTCGACACTTTCTAGGTTTCCTAGGGTGTCCCACCCCGGAGACTACGGGAGAAGATAGAGTCTCCGCTAAAGCGGAATTCGATGCCGCCACTTGGGCGGCGCTATGGGCTCTACAGTCCCCCCTCCCTCCCGCCGTTCCTACCACCTTTCACTCAGACAACATGGATGTTGTCGCCACCGCCAAAGGCGGTACAGTAGCTGAGCCACTAATGGAGCATAGAAGCCGCCTCGACAGTCTATGCAAGGTACTTGGCCTAAAACGCCACTTTACATGGCAGCACGTGCACGGTCACCAAGCCGACCCGCTCAACGAAATGGTTGACACGGTCGCCAGACTTTACTCCCTCGCACTCCTACCTCCGCCAGTGCTCCCGCCCCTCATGAGCTTTCTCCAAGACAATGCGCATATTTTGGAATGGCTATGGCTTGAGTGCCTGCCTCAGCAACAGCGTGCGCTTTACCCGCCAAACCATCAAGTTAGCCTCAATCCTCCTCTCCCCCCGCGCACCTCGCTTGCTGATGTTTTTTTTCCAAGTCTCTTCAAAGAAGCAGCCCCGATCGCAGACGCCACGGCATCATGCTGTCTCAGGCTAGCCTCAGCCAACATTCTCTCTCTCACTCCTGCCTCGCGCATCTCCCAAAGAGCCAGGCTTACAGGCGTGGCCGTCAAAGGACGCCTCCACCAACTGGCCGCCGCTTTTCAACGCAACGGGCTCGACGTTATCGGCATGCAAGAGACGCGAGTCACAGACACGGGCTCTGGCAAACGCCAGGTTCCCCCGTACGTAGTCTTTTTGTCAAAGTCTCAAGCTGGAACTCATGCCTGCGGCTGCGCGCTATGGGTCAACCTTACCACGCCCGTTTTTCCCAATGCCAAAGGCATTCCCACTTTCCCTATTAAGTCTCACAGCGTGCGTATTGTACACCAAGACCCGCGCATTATTGCGGCAGTCATCAGTCAGAACGGCCTACGTTTCAGTATCCTCGTGGCACATGCTCATCATTCAGGGCGTCCTCTCCACGAACAGGTCGTATGGTGGCAGCACCTTAGACATGTGCACGACCATATTTTACCGCAGCCTACGCCTACTCTTGTCCTAATGGACTCCAATGCTGCAGTAGGCACGCAAACATCAGCGGCCATTGGCCCACAACACGCGGAGCAAGTTAACACGGCTGGCTCCTTTTTCCATCGCTTCTTACTTGCATCTAAGCTCTGGCTGCCGGCCACCTTTGTGCCACACCCTATGGGGGCAGGCACATGGATCGCGCCAGCACGTGACCCCGCTTTCAAACAGCACTGGAAGCGCAGGGACTATATAGCTATACCTTTAGGTGCCTCTGCCAACGAATGCGAAGTCAAGTATTCTCTTTCCCTAGCACTTGCAGTGTTAGACCACGCTGTTCCGTGCTTATTATGCCAATTCAAGCTGCAGCTCCGACCTAACGAAGACCAGGGACGCCAGGTCATGCGCATGCCGCACGACCCCAATGCATACCTAGACCCGTCGGCCAGACAGCTATTTGAAGACACTTTCTCGCCTCCCCCTGAAACTTTAACTTTTGACCTGCATGCCTCAGGCCACGCGCTCATATTA